CAAAAAAATTTACCACGGCTAAATAAAGTGGCCGTGCCTAGCGTCCATTTTGACCTGAAGCATGTTATTTTATTTCATGTTTTCACAATTGACGTCACTGCACATTAGGCATTCCCATGCGTGCCCAGTCCTCCGATGTAGCAGCCACTCCAAAGTACTTCAACTAATTGTTCCCATGAGAAGCTGGTTATATTGTCTCCTATCTCGGCCTCGAAGACGACAAAGACGTGCTTCACCAGGCTTTACTCACATGTCACGCAATCGTGTTAGTGTCAGGGATTCCTCATTAACCACTAGCCCAGTTCGTACAGCGTTGACGATATCTGCTCTGTCCATGCTTTTCCCCGCAATCCTTAGTGTTGTGCTTGCCAGCTGGTCCGCTAGCTCATTTCCCTTTACATTTCCCTACATGACCCGGTGTGTAGATCCAGGTTACGGAGGTTAAGTGCGATTTTCGAATGCTTTCTACCTATTCAGAGGGCATACCGCCTGTTGCTATCTTCTGAAGCATATTCATGGAGTCTGATACAATTACTGCCTTTGTGGCGGTTTGCTCGGATACCCATGCTAGTGCTCTAGAAGCAGCGGCTGTTTATACGGTCATGCTTGACGTGGTAGTCTTGTAAGCGCGGCTGTCCTCCTGTATTGTTTTTCTCCTTCTTTGCGCTGTGTATGCCCATGCTGACCTTGATCCGCGCTTCACGGATCCATCTGTGAAGATAAAGATATATTCTGGGTCTGAATGCTGATCTATCAGTTCCCTTACTTCTGTGTCTACGGCCGCAGGAATCTCATCCCGGGAGTACCTTCCGAGTGTGACGACAACCTTAGAGATGCCATGCATGTCTACTGGTGTACTCGTCCATTCTTTTCCATGAATGATCACGTCCAGGTCACATACCTGCTTGATTAAATCCTCAGCCTTTGCCATCCAAGAGCGGACTGTTTTGAGACGCGCTCCTCTCGTGTCGTGTTTAGCTTTGTGCTATGGGTGGTTAACGTCTGCTGATACCCTCATGTAAGCCTTGACTTGTGCCACTTTGTATCTGCTAGTCATCGTCGGCAGACCCAGGACATATCGCATGGCGTTGCAGGAGGTGTCTTTTGTACAGCCGAGTATGAGTCTCATTGCCTCATTTTGTACTCGGTCCAGTCTTTCTAGCTGGGTTTTGCTGACAGTGAAGAGGCCGAGACCATAGTCAATTACGCTAAGCACAAGCCCTTGATAGAGAAGGAATAGTAAGCGTTGTTCAATATCATCTGCTGCTAGCACCCTGAGTTGATGTGGATATACACGAGATATCTGATAACCGGGGCGTCAGTAACAGCTATACCAGCTTAGTGAAACCTGCGGTCCTATGCGGGTACGTGTCAGTTATTGTATAGCAGGTTTCCCCGAGTGTTTTCCGGGGCCCTATTATATGGAAAACAAGAATAGGCCCACTGCCAAACGCATGTCGTAAGAGTCGATTGACTGGGTGCTTCCTTCGAAGTCGGGGTGCGTCTGCCTGAGAGACAAAAAACACAAATGAGTCAGATTTGTAAAACGGATTCACACGCAACACTCAGGTTCTGAAACAGGACTGCAGTCCAGCAGTGGACGAACAACCAGAACTTTCTGCCGGAGTTTACAGCCAGTGAAGACGAAGTAGAAGAATAAGAGTAGCAGATTTATTAGACATAAAGCGCTCTTCTTATTCTTTAGCATTCCGAGCCCTTGAGGCGGCGTCTATGGCTCAGGCGTTTCGTGGTGCTGGGCTCGATTCCACCACAGGCGATTTGACAGCAGACTTTCTGGTGCTGCTTTCAACAGTAATATAGAGAGCTGACCGTTTAGAAAGCACTGGCAAACTACAGAACGTAAAATTTGGCTAGAAAAACCCCAACAGCCCAAAAATTATGTAGTCGGTTTTATAACTTCTTGTAAATGATACTACAGCTCAAAAGTGCATTCAAAACATGTGCAAAAACATTTATTCTAAAATGTAATAAACCTTTTAAGTGCACTGAATGAACCAACCTACAACACGGGACAAGATTTGACATAACGAAGAACGTCCTACGGCTGTTTACCTGTCCCCTTTCATCTCAACCCCTGAAATACTTCGACCTACTTGCATCAGCTAGTGATGAAATTTCCCTCCTATTTTTAGCCCCCACGTTTCGTCAGAATCCACACGGAAAATATCAAGGATTTAAAGTCCATGATCGTATTTAAGTTAGTGAATTCGCATGGTTTTCACGTCAGAAATTTGGATACTTACGAAAGCTTTCCACCAACTTAGAGGTGGTGTGTTTGTTTTGCTTGAACGATTTCAAGAAAGCTAGTGTTTGTAATTACGTGCTCATGCCGACTGTCCCTCGAGTCGTGGTGTTATTTATTCACACAGCTGATCGTTTTATCCAGGCCTGAGTTTGGGTCATTATACCCACGCGTTTAACAACACAACTGCTGCTGCTAAGCCACCTACAATTGGCTCTAACATTATTCTGTGATACCCCGATATCTTCTATAAGCAGCGATTAAAGTAGTGATTTATTTAAATATACAGTTGTGACTGAATCAGCCGACCACTACCAGACTATCAATGACTATGTCTATGTCAGTAGTTTCAAACGTGAGAGGGGCTGTTATATGCAGAAGCAAATGTAGTTCACTAATTTCATTGATCGTTTCGCCTGCTACCACTACTAAAGCTTTCTCTACTGCTGCTCCAGCAAACTGGGGATGTCTGTCAACACAACGGCCTCTAGTTTCACCACAGTACGGTCAGAATGTCTTTCTTCAGGCGAGTAACAATTTTATGTCAATCAATACCTAGGACGGTAGGTAGTGGTGATTTTCCCATTCAACTCTCAGTGAATAACTGGGGTATATGAGTCTATTGTATTTTCAGTGTATACATTTTCTAGTTTTTGTACTATCAAGTATTATAGTTATACAATACGATTTCTCTAGTCATTCGTGCCCATTGTATTTTAGTTTATTACTGTATGCTTACTCAAAATACTTACTTTTTCTTTTTTTAATTTTATATATTATAATTATGATTTCATTTATATATATATATATATTCTTTTTTTTTTGCCAGCTTATTCTTAGTCCTCTTCCTTTCTTCTTCTGCTGCTGCAGCAATTTCTCCTCCTTTTTCTTTCTGTCCTTCTGTGTGCCCTTAAAATGACAGCACATTGTTATATGGTTTACAGCTAGGCTGTGTATCTGCACCTTTCAGTGATGGGTTTAGTCATAAGCTAAATAAGCTATAACTCAGGGCTTCACAATCTGCAGAGGCTTCAAAAGCTGTTTTTTTACAAATGCAGTTTTGTTTTAATTAATAAATTTTAATGCGATTTTATTTTAATATATTTTTAATTTATACAAATGTTATAAGTTGTAACTCAGAGCTTTTAGAGGATTGTATAATATATAATTTGTAGCATAATTATTTTAAAATACTGTCCAATTCAGATTTTGGGTTGTGGTTTCTTGCACTAAGAATATTTTGATCACATTCATTTGTGTGCGCCTTAAAGTAGTTGGTAAATTTCACCCCACTAGGACATAACACAGCAATATACACCCGGTGACACAAAGTGCCTCTATGCGGACGAGGATCACTCGTGGAGAGGTTCCTGAAACTCCGTTCAACCATAAGGCCATATTTAGGCCTGGCTATATTTAGGACCCCGACATCAGCCAGGGTGTGGCTTCAAAAGGGGATGACTTATGAGTATGACAGTGTGCTTGAAAACAGTAGATTCCTCACTACTGAATTTATGCTGTCAAATAATTGTCAAACTTGATTTTATTATCATCCTTGGATTTTTCAGCATTTAACAAGCATATGCACAAGCTTTTTCTAAGTAGTTCACCATTGTGCCTGTGTGGGCTGTATGTGCGGATTACAGAGAACATGTCCTGCAAGCATGTCGCTTGTACAGCGCATTAAGGAGTGAATACTGGCCCACTGAGTCAACACTGCACTCAAAGCTATATGGAACTCTTCAAAACAGTCAATTTTTTCACATGAACTTGTCTGTCAGTGTAAATCAGACAACAAACACAAGAAGAAGGATATTTTAGCTTATAAAATAAATACAACACTGACAGACAGTAGTCTGAACTAACAGAGAAGATGAATGTCTTCTCCCAATGAAAGTGATAATTATTAATTCCAGATCTTTCTTTCTCTTGGGCAATTCATGTAGTGGTTTGTTGAAAATTAAACAGTATTGCTTATTGTCCCTTTATGTAATTATTATTATTATTATTCCTGGTTCTTTATTAATATCCTACCCCCAGATGACTTCACAGGATGGTCCAACATTTTAGAGGATGGTAGGACTGGGTTTTCCTTCTTTCTGATGCTTCTAGTGACCCCAAAACACCTTGAACTTGCCCTAACATTAACCCACCTACGTCCCACGAGAGAGTGCAGCCTAGGTCCCACGACTGCATGCAGCCAATGTCCCATGACTGCATGCAGCCTATCTACCACCTCCTGAAATATTAGACTGTCCCGTGACCTGTTGATTTCCCCTGTTCAGGGTAGGATATTAATAAAGCACCAATTCTTCTTTTTCTTTTCTTTCTTTTTACCTTCTTCTTATTATTATTTTTCTCCTTTTCCTTCTACTTTTTCTTCTTCTCCTCCTCCATTCTCTTTCTTTTTCATTCTCTTCTTCATCTACTTCTGCTGCTGCTCCTCCTCATCCTGTTTCTTTCTCTCCTTCTGTGTTTGCCCTTAAAAGGACAGTTAGGCCATTGTTTTATGGTTTATAACTAGGCTTTTGGTGGTCCAATGCATCTAATTGCAGTGAATCCTCAATTAGTTAACTTTTAAAACAGGCTTAAGGAGCAGTGGGCCTATCCCCTCCCCCCCCCCCCCCCCCCCCCTTTCCTCCTTTTTCTCCCAGGAAGTTCCCGACAACCCTATACAAAAGGTACATATATATATATAATCTTGTCACTTACTAGCTGCTTATCTATTTGTGAACAGAAAAGAAATCTGGCAGATGAAAACAAAATCAAACTGACAGAGGAGAAATTACCTCAGAAAAATGCTGTCACATTACCTGACCCCTCAGATGTTGAACATTTCAAGTAAGTTGTCAAACTGTAATATGTCTGACTTTAACAGACTGTCCAATTTATAAATGTAATAAATTTGTATCTAACAGACTATATTGAATCACTGTAATCAGTGGTACTTTGATAGTATACAATCATATCTCATCCATTGGCTTCAAGATTTGGTAGGGAAATCCCAAGAACATCCCATAGAATAGGGGGGTTAGGCTTAGTAGCAGTCACTATTCATTTAACACCCCATCAGTAATAATATGGTACTCTCCAGGGAAACCCCTAGGGATCCCTAGGCATTCCCTATGAAATCTTGAAGCTGACTAGATGCGGTGATGTAAATTAGAGTACCTAATCAGTTTCTTTTGGTAAGACCAGCTTATGAATTTCATAAGTCTGTCTCTTCCCCAACTGTTAAATATATTTGACTAGTCATTCCCTACAAGATTGTCTGTATTTATAAATTATCTAACTCTGCTCTCTCCATCATCTTGTCTGTTTTATAAATTTAAATATTCTGTTTTTATATGGTTATCTGTTTTAACAATTTAGTGTTAAAAACTCACTTTATAACTATATTATACAATCCTATCATCTCTTGTATGAATATTGTCACAATCAGTCCTTAAATTTAATAATTAATTTTTGTTTCAGTAACTCTTTGAGTCCCAGGGGATTTAGCATCAGAGGCCCAAGGGGTGGTCAAAAGAGATGTAAAATCAGCGCATTGTGCGTTTATTGGATCTCTAAGTCGGAACCTATGAACGTTGGATGTGTTCCTTGGGACTCAAAGAGCTAAGGAGGGTAACTAGATGTCATATTTTTGTTGCACTGCACAAGTAACATGCCTCCATGGTAGACCAAGCCATAAAAAGTGGGTACCAGGTAATGTCCTAGAAAATAAAGGCAGCCAGCGCGATGCTGATCACAACTATCATCAAGTGCTACATCTGTGTTTACACTGAATTCATTGAAGTACACTTTAGTACTGGCACTTTTTTTTTAAAATTATGTTTAGTTGTAATATATATATATATATATACAAATATTTATATATACATATATATTTATTTATATATTTATATATATACATATATATATATATATATATATATATATATATATATATATATATATATATATATATATATATATATGTATATATATATATATATATATATATATATGTGTATGTACACACACACACACTGTGTGTCCGTAAAGTCCTGATGCAGGTTTAAGGTTATGGACGTCAAAAGTTCACCATGACTTTACGGACACAGTGTATAAATACACACACACACACAAATATATATATATATATAGTTTGCAGCTTACTTACATGCTATATAAATTCTATGTACATTATAAATTTTTTTACGAGCTGATATGTTACTTAATTTTATGAACTATATCATGCTACACACTATTGGAAGTATCTTAATTTTGAACAATCTTTATTAAACATTTATTACTAGTTAATGTTTATTAGTTAACTGTAAGTGTACCTGTTAAAACTTCACAAGCAGTCATATAACTCTAAACCCATATTGTCATCTTTATATTTCATTCTGGTCATTAAGTGTTGTGGGGAGGAACTGGTTGTGGTCCAGTATGCAATAGGCAGCACTGGCTATTGTCATTCCATGTGGATTTAGAAGGTCTTTAATGTCATTCCATGTGGATTTAGAAGGTCTTTGTCATTCCATGTGGATTTAAAAGGTCTTTAATGTCATTCCATTTGAATTTAGGTCTTTAATGTCACTCCATGTTGATTTAGAAGGTCTTTGTCATTCCATGTGAATTTAGGTCTTTAATGTCATTCCATGTTGATTTAGAAGGTCTTTAATGTCATTCCATGTGGATTTAGAAGGTCTTTAATGTCATTCCATGTTGATTGAGAAGGTCTTTAATGTCATTCCATGTGGATTTAGAAGGTCTTTGTCATTCCATGTGGATTCAAAAGGTCTTTAATGTCATTCCATGTGGATTTAAAAGGTCTTTAATGTCATTCATTCCATGGGGATTTAGAAGGTTTTTAATATATTTTCGTTTGGATTTAAAATTAAAAGGTCTTTAATGTCATTCCATGTGGATTTAAAATTAAAAGGTCTTTAATGTCATTCCATGTTGATTTAAAAGGTCTTTAATGACATTCTATGTTGATTTAGGTCTTTAATGTCATTCCATGTGGATTTAGAAGGTCTTTGTCATTCCATGTGGATTCAAAAGGTCTTTAATGTCATTCCATGTGGATTTAAAAGGTCTTTAATGTCATTCATTCCATGGGGATTTAGAAGGTTTTTAATATCTTTTCATGTGGATTTAAAATTATAAGGTCTTTAATGTCATTCCATGTGGATTTAAAATTAAAAGGTCTTTAATGTCATACCATGTTGATTTACAAGGTCTTTAATGACATTCCATGTTGATTTAGAAGGTCTTTAATGTCATTCCATGTGGATTTAGGTCTTTAATGTCATTCCATGTGGATTTAGAAGGTCTTTGTCATTCCATGTGGATTTAAAAGGTCTTTAATGTCATTCATTCCATGGGGATTTAGGTTTTTAATATCTTTTCGTGTGGATTTAAAATTAAAAGGTCTTTAATGTCATTCCATGTTGATTTAGAAGGTCTTTAATGACATTCCATGTGGATTTAAAAGGTCTTTAATGTCATTCCATGTTGATTTAGACGGTCTTTAATGTCATTACATGTTGATTTAGAAGGTCTTTAATGACATTCCATGTGGATTTAGAATGTCTTTAATGACATTCCATGTGTATTTAGAAGGTCTTTGTCATTCCATGTGGATTCAAAAGGTCTTTAATGTCATTCCATGTGGATTTAGAAGGTCTTTAATGACATTCCATGTGGATTTAGAAGGTCTTTAATGTCATTCATTCCATGGGGATTTAAAAGGTCTTTAATGACATTCCATGTTGATTTAGAAGGTCTTTAATGACATTCCATGTGGATTTAGAAGGTCTTTAATGTCATTCCATGTGGATTCAAAAGGTCTTTAATGTCATTCATTCCATGGGGATTTAAAAGGTCTTTAATGTCATTCATTCCATGGGAATTTAGGTTTTGAATATCTTTTCGTGTGGATTTAAAAGGTCTTTAATGTCATTCTATGTGGATTTAAAAGGTCTTTAATGTCATTCCATGTGGATTTAAAAGGTCTTTAATATCATTCCATGTGGATTCAGAAGGTCTTTAATATCATTCCATGTGGATTCAGAAGGTCTTTAATGTCATTCCAACTTCTCTTTGAGCACCCGGTTCTTTCAGATTAGATTTTTTTTTAGGTTTAGCGCCTGTCTTCATTGTGGTGGCTGCATTCTAACTAAATTTTTGACTGACTTAATGTTTAATTTGGTCTCAGATTTTTAAGTTGGCGGCTGTCATCTAATCTAATAGATTTTGTGTGTGTGTGTGTGGTTACAAATGATTTATTGTCCAAGTCTGACACTGTGCTAACAGTGTTGGTATGAAAATGCTGTTTAAAACCTGTTTTTGGCAGTGATACTTATGTTTGGGTGTCGTAATATTGGTGTCAGTTCGCTTATAAATATACTGGCTCTGTGAACTTTTTTTTTTAATTCCTGATCTTTTCTGTACTTTACCATTAGTGAGCAAAAATCTTCTGTATCTAAAAAATGTTCCTCCCAATTGAATCCAATGTTGCCAGGTAGCGACACATTTTACCCAATACCTGAAATATTGCCTCTTTTGTTGAGTGGCGAGAAAACTTGAATTATGATTTAGACACTGGAAATTAGATATCAGTTTCAAGTATAATGTGCACTTAAATTTTTAAAGTAATTTCTAAAAGAGAAAAAAGTGTGCCTTTGCGTAGAAAAAATATGGTATGTGTTTCTTTAACTTTCCAATGTCATCATCATCATCTGGCTGTGCTGTTTATGCATTACATAATGCTTGCAGGTTGTTGTTTTTTTTGGTTTCTTCTATCTTATGCGGTCTTGTTGATATTATGGATGGAATTCTATCAAGTACCTTTTTGTCTCTCTCATAAATGTTCTTCACATGCTTTTTCTTGGACATCTTTCGTTCCTCAGTCCATGTGTTTCCCACTTCAGTGCCTGTTAGGTAGTTCTCTGTCTGCTTCCCTACAGGATGCGTCCAGTATATCACCATCTTCTTTGTCTCTGTGGTAACTGTTTTATAATTTTGCCACTGTTGGAATCAGCTGTTGTGTATACTTTTTTTAGATTTCTTACCTTTCTTATTTATTCCATGTATTGTTCATTAATTGCCTCAAGCATTTGTTTTAAATACTTTAACTTTTGTTCTATATCTTTAGTTGTTCCCCATTGTTCACTGGCATATGTTAAATCCATATTTTTTTTTCTTTTCATAATCGTATAAGAACTACATAATGTTTTCAGGTAACTTACTTAAATGCTTATTTTTACTTGCCTTTCCAGGATAGAAAAATTTAGTGCTTCGGAAACAATTTTACAGAATACTATGAAGGAAGTGCCACCAATTGGAACTTATGTCTTACCACATCCAATATGGTAGGTTGTTTAAAACTTTTGATTATAAGTATACTTTTCTCAGTACCGTTCTCCACACATTTTTTTCTTTTAATTTGTCGCAAGCAACTTGTGATATGTGAATATCTACTCCCCAATGAATTCTGTTTACACATGTGTATTTCATATTGTACTTTTGCTGTTCACAGTGGTCAGAAAATGCATCAATACACCTTATGTTTAGGAAATCGGTCATTTACTTTACTATATCACATTCTTGATATGATAGCAATCTTTGGCTGGGCAATACTGAAATTTTTGTGGTTAAAAAAAAATTAATAATTGATATTATTGTGTGCAATAATTCTGACTTTGTATATTTAACTCTGCTTTGTTAAAAATTATTATCTTAATTTATTTTTTATATTCATATCATTGTGAAACTTCCAATCTAGATTTAAGAACCACATTGAACCTATTAGGCGATGATTTAAAAAAAAAAAAGAAACTCACTTAGTGAATGAATTAGATTACTAATGAAGCCAACGCTGATGAAAGAGGTCAAAAATTCCAGACTTGTTACCTTTTATAACATTAAAATGACTGCAAATGATAGAATGGAACGAAGAATCAGCTGTGTGCCCAGTATGGCTGTGAGCCCAGTATGGCTGTGAGCCCAGTATGGCTGTGAGCCCAGTATGGCTGTGAGCCCAGTATGGCTGTGAGCCCAGTATGGCTGTGAGCCCAGTATGGCTGTGAGCCCAGTATGGCTGTGAGCCCAGTATGGCTGTGATCCCAGTATGGCTGTGATCCCAGTATGGCTGTAAGTCACTGGACAGGATAATAATGATTATAATGATCTCTGAACATATTTCCTGTCCTAACAGAAACGATAATAAAAATATTTTTTTTTTGGTTTAAACTGTAGGACAGAGGACCAAGTGAACAATGTACACATAACGCACAAACCACCAGCAGGATTTGTGGACAAGGTAAATTGAATGGTCTATCTTTATTCATCTGGAACAGCAGGGTAGTAAAGCTGTGACCATGGGCTTAATTAAGATCACCTAGAAGATAACTGAATTTTGCTGTTTTCTCAAGGGGTACTGCACCTACTGCCATTTTAGGGCGTACTAGAGGTAGTCAGCAGTTCCTGTGGTGAAGGGTCTAGGCTCGCGCTGCGGATTGAAAGGTAGTGGGTTTGCTCCCTGGCGGAGCCGGACTTTTTTCACAAAAAAAAACCTTAGCTGCCAGATCGACCGAGCCTTGAGTGGGTACCGGATGAAGTCCCGGGAAGTAAAGGCGGCTGGCGTGATGCTGACTACATCACTCATCTTCTGCTGATTGGTTTATAAAAATATAGGTCTTGCCCTATATGCCTAAAGGCGCGGAAAAGGGTCCTTAATTTTTTTTTTTTTTTTTTTATAGGTTGTTATTGCAATCATTAGTAATTTCATCATAGATATCCTTAGATAACTTCTTGGGTGGGTTAAAGTTAGGATATTCCCTGTGTGTGTTCTCAGACCCCATTTGTGCTGTGGGGAAAGGGGGGGGGGGGGTGGGGAATAGACCAACTGCTTCCAAACAAGTGTGTATTGAAAGTTGACTAATTAGAAGTGTTTCCTTTGAAGTTCGAGTGTGAGTTGAGGAACCAAAAATCTGCTTACAAATAAGCCAGATCTGTAAAACAGATTAGCATGCAAAGCTCAAGTTATGAAGCAGGACTAAGGTCCAGAAGTGGACAGAAAAACCAAAACTTTCCACCAGAATTTATAAGTCTCTGTGCGCAATGAAGAAGAATTGGGATAAACAGGATTTTTATAATATCAAGTATGGGATATTTATGTATGTTTTATTACTTTTAAAAAAATTTCATATTGAACAGACTTTGGGTGAGGGGGGGGGGGGGGGGTGTTGTAATTTCAAAATGTCACAAGTGTAACACATTAAAACAGACCATACTAATTCAACTGCCGCACAACATACACATATATTACATCAAAGTGACCAGGGATTGTTGAGGAATTCTATTAGAATTCTGTTATAACAATAAATTGTGTGTTGGTAATTAATTATTAGTAAATAAACAGATGGTAGTTTAGAGAAATTAATAAAAAGAAATAATAATTTTTTTTCCTACTTACCACCATGGCCACTCAAGGAAAACCAATAAAATATATACAAAATGGATCATAAATGAACATGACATTTATATAAATAAAATTGTAACGCAATATGTCCATTAAAGCTCGTTCCAAAGAAACTTTCAGAACATCATAGCAAAGCAGCATTAGTATATACACCTGAGAAAAAAAATTTTACTTTATATGACACATCTTATAGCCTATTCTCCCTCCCCCCCCCCCCCCCCCCCCCCCCCCCCCCCCCCTCCCCCCCCCCCCCCCCCCCCCCTCACAGGAAAGCACACTAAACCTGGTAGTGAAAAATGTTGTCTTTTTCACTAAAATTGAATCCTTTTGTACCAGCTGAGTTTGTTATCATCGTAGGCTTTGCGTGAGGTATGTATCAGAACAATCCCTCATCAAAGTTTGACTCTGTCAATGACTTAAACAAATCAGCTTAAACAAATCAAATTTTTTTTTGGTCTAGTTTCAGATACATCTGATAAACGTGTGTTTTACTTAAATATGATGCTTCTAAAGTCATAAATCTTGTAAGTCTGCTCGGGGGCCATATTGTTTTTACACAGACACCTAGTACTACATTTTATGCTTTTAGCCATGTTTTCGAATAAGCCTAATGGTCAACACATGTGACATCGAACTCGAAGAACAGGAAATACCATTCAAAACTGCTGGTTTTTGTTGTTATATTGGCCAATTAAAAAACCTGAATGAGTCACATGCTGATTAGCTCCTGGGTAGTAACCAGTTAGTGAGTGATGGGTTTCTTGGGGCTCAAAGAGTTCAGATTGTAAGATTAGCATTGAGTTAGGTATAAATGTACTTTTTATATATTTGTGGTTAATAAAGTTTGTTTACCTGTCTATTGATGTTATGTTATCATTATTGTCTTGTTATGCTGCTATACATCACATATGTGATTCTCAACGCAGTGCACAAACTCTTCCCCTTCTAGGAAAGAAGATTCTCAGTGCACATTTTCCTTCTTCTACAGTTATGGTCAACACCTGTGAAATCCCTTCTCCAGTAGGAGATTCTCAGTGCACAATGCCAATCTTCTACAGTAGGAGATTCTCAGTGCACAATGCCAATCTTCTACAGTAGGAGATTCTCAGTGCACAATGCCAATCTTCTACAGTAGGGGATTCTCAGTGCACAATGCCAATCTTCTACAGTAGGAGATTCTCAGTGCACAATGCCAATCTTCTACAGTAGGAGATTCCCAGTGCACTTTTCCCTTCTTCTACAATATCAGATTCACAGCTCAGTGCCCAATTTCTCCTTCTTCACTCTGAGATTCTCAGCATGAAGACAACTGCCCAGGTCTGAGCTCCATTTTTTGCTTACCAAAATACACAAGGATTTGAACAACCAAAGAGACAATTGATCCAGGGGGGAGGACAGACTTCCCATACATGTAGCATACAACACTGATCAACCCTACACTGTTTTCACCTACAAATTCACTTTGATGCTGATTATGGAGAGGTTGAATGCTAAGCAGTTTGACATCGTGGTCAGGAAGATCATCTGATCAGAAATGATCAAAAGTACATGAGACAGAAGGCTGTGGATAGACATGACTACCAGCGCCACATATTATGGACTGTAAGAAGTAATTGAATGTCAAGTGCATGCGTGCCTTAGACAGAATCCTATTGCTTTGTGTACTTCATATGTTGATGGGGAAAAAGGGGGGTGGGGGGGTGCTTGTAAAACGAGGGGTTAAGTACATCAATGTTCACTGAAAAAATTTCCTGAGAAAAAATGGGAGATTATATTATCATCCACAAAAGATTTGCAGATACGCATTTCTTGTGATTTTGGTTTATATTTCCATTTGTGAGTTTTTTTCCATTTGTTAGTGGTAACAAAATGTTAGCTAAACAGTATTGCATTTTTGAAGTTCAAAGTAAATGATTGAATCTTTTTATCCTTTGCTTTCTCCTGCAGTTGGCATATGGCAGTGTTCAATTATTGAGAGCCAACTTTGATTTGTTCTCAGGCTTCAAGTTTGGAAAGAGAAATGAGAGAAAATGGTTGAAGTGAGTTTGTACTGTAATTTGAACCTTGTCTGAGATTTAAATGGTTCAGTTATTTTGACGTTCAGTTGACTGGTGTTTAATTTTTAAAATAATATTTATTTATAGAGCCAGTTATAACATATGGCTGTGAATCCTGGACACTTAGTAAACAAGCCAATTTCTTGAGGCCTCAGAGATGTGGTTTTACAGAAAAATCCGTACAATTCCTTCGATAGTCAGAAAGAGGAACCCTGACGTTTTAAAGAAGGCGAGGGCTCAAAGACAACTTATCACAAACATCAGAAAGAGATAGTCATCATTTGTTTGTGGCCAGGTTACGAGAAGAGGGAAACTAAAACATGTTGTAACCACTGGAAAGATCTGTGGAAAAAGAGTCAGGGGAGAACACTGAAATGGTATTTGACAGCTTTTTGTCATGGCATGGAGGGGTGTCAACACACAAACTCATACATGCTGTTGGAGATCTCAGATTGTAGAGAAAGATCCAAAATTGTGGAAACATGATCACCGTTGCATGTTGGCAAGTCATATGATGATGATCTATTTATTCCATCGGGTGCCCCAAATAAAACTTATATGGTTGAATGGGGTTTCTGGAAACTGCTTTTGTTGGATTTTTGTCCAAACAGTGTCTCTTTGCATCAGCTGGGGTTAAGTCCTTGATTTCAAAACATATTTTTGGTTTCAGTTCAATTCCATTTTCCAATGCTATTCTTGTTTTCCCCACAATGGGACCCTAGAACCCACACAAGGAGGAAGAAATATATATTAGATTAAATTTGTAATTCTGTGGTGTGTTTTATTTTTTAATTTTTTTTAATTTAATTTTTTTTTTTTGAAATTTGTACATTCTGTTTAGTCATTCTATACTTTCTAAAATAGTAAATAGTCACTTTGAATGTCTTTGAGTAATTTTTTTTTTTTTAATTGTAAACAAAAACTTATGAAACAAAAGCACTGAGAAAGTTAAAGACACAAATCCCAATTGTTTTGCTACATTTAATATTACGTCATTACATTTATAAACAGAAAATTTACATTATTTTATTTCCTTACAGCCGTATCTGTTTTCTAGAAACTGTGGCAGGAGTTCCTGGCATGGTTGCAGCCATGATGCGTCATATGAGATCTTTACGACGGATGCAGAGAGACCAAGGCTGGATACACACACTTCTAGGTAGGAGTAACTCTACCTTCATTGTATGTTCAACACCTTGGCTGGGGAGAGAGATACAGGGTTATTGCAGTTGTTCTTTTGTTCTCCATGTACACACTTAACCTCTTCTTCTTCCTTTTCTTCGTGGGCTCCAGCTGCAAACTTCAGCAGAAAGTTCCGGTTGTTTATGCATTCCTGGACTTTAGACGTGATCCATAACTTGAGTGTTGCATGCGCATTCATTATACAAATCTTCTGGCTTATTTATATGCAGACTGTTGGTTCCTTGCCTCATAGGCAGGTGCAGGTGCACTTCCACTTTAAAGGAAAATCCCATAACTAGTTACCTCCAGTGACATGCTTGTGTGTGTATGCATGTTTGTGTGTGTGTTTCTGTCTGTCTGCACTGAGTCTGTTTTTTAGTTTCCAAAATAGAGCCATAGGACCCACACAGGAACACACTTAATATTTTTGTAGAGCTTCTATGATCTGATCATTCCATCTTGTTCATGTTTATCACACACCAAACAGGCAACTGCTAAGAATGGCAAAAACTTTAACAATCAAAATCAACAACCACCTCTTTCGTAACCAGACAGAATTTATAGTAAATTTGAAGTTACCCTGGTAGGTCACATGACTACAGTGAATTTCCAGCGAGTGCAGTTGACTAGACAAACCCACGATGCATCAAAAAGAAACTATTTCGGTTGGATTTATTCAGTTTTTTGCCTCATTTTATGTTGATGTAACTCTGAAGTAACACACTTCACTAGATACAGCTCAATATGCCCAGCAATAAATTGAGCAATCTATTGTTTGTGTCCGCTTTATTTAAATGTCTAGATGACCGCTGGTATATCAAGATGAGGCTATATTGAGTTCATCGGGAGAAGAAGCAAACAGAAAATAACCAAACAGGCACTGAAATGAGAATTAAATGGATTAAGGAAATGGGAATGTCCAAGAGAAACCCCAAAATAAACAATGATGAGAGAGGACAAAGATGCTGGACTGGACTCCAGCCTTGATATCAGAAGAATTGCATGGAATAAAGAAGAATGGAGGAACAGACTATAAACCCTGTGATGTAATGGGCACAACAAGTGATGATGATGAATTATTATCATACCTGCATCAGTAAAGAAAATTAATCAGGGAAAGACAAAGATAATGAGAATAAATCAAGTAAATAGTCATGTTGTTTCTCTTAATGGCACCCCACTCCAGGTGGACGTGGTCGTACACCTGTTTGGGCGGTAATGTAGATAAAGATGGGGGAACTAATAGAGATATTTAAATATAAATACAAAAGGCAAGAGGAGCTTTCATAGCACTAGGAATTCATGGAGGTTAAAAAAAAAATTAAAAGTAATTCTAAACTAAAAATTATAAATTCTTAAATCAAATCAGTACTGTTGTGTGAAGGGAAAACATGGAGAACAGCTAAGGTGATTACCATTAAACTACAAACATTTATTAACTGGTGCCTGTGCAGAATAGAATGGTATGATAGAATCACTAATGTAGAGCTTTGGAAGAGAACTAAACAAGTTCCATTAGGCCAAGAAGTGGAGAAAAAATGCTGACATTGGATAGGACACATATTGGGAAAACCTGAGTATAATATAAGTAGAATGTCTTTTCACTGGAACGAGCAGAGGCATAGAAAAAAAGTAGGACCAAAAAACACATGGAGAAGGGAGCTAGAGAGTGACGTTAAACAAATGGGGAGGATGTGGGGGAAAGCTGCATGCGATAGTGAAAGATAGAACGACTTGGCGTGATTTGGTTGAGGGCCTATGCTCCATTGGGGGTTAAAAAAGGCAGAAAATAACAGTAAAGATCTTTCTCAATCTACGCAAGTGTAGTTTGATTTGTAAACATTTCTGGGGAAATGTAATTCACCATGTCGATTTCTCTAATTCTACAGAAGAAGCAGAAAATGAACGAATGCATTTGCTCACAGCTCTCCAGTTAAAAAAGCCTTCATTGCTTTTCCGCTTGAGTGTCATTGGCTCCCAAGGTATGACCTTCACTCATAAGCAGTAACCATTTATTGCTTATGTACATTGGAGTAACCATGGTTACTTATTAATTAATGATTATGAATACTATCTAACATATGATTACTTGATAGATAGATGAGCGTTCTAACAAATGATTACTTGATAGATAGATGAGCGTTCTAACAAATGATTACTTGATAGATAGATGAGCGTTCTAACAAATGATTACTTGATAGATAGATGAGCGTTCTAACATATGATTACTTGATAGATAGATGAGCGTTCTAACAAATGATTACTTGATAGATAGATGAGCGTTCTAACAAATGATTACTTGATAGATAGATGAGCGTTCTAACAAATGATTACTTGATAGATAGATGAGCGTTCTAACAAATGATTACTTGATAGATAGATGAGCGTTCTAACAAATGATTACTTGATAGATAGATGAGCGTTCTAACAAATGATTACTTGATAGATAGATGAGCGTTCTAACAAATGATTACTTGATAGACATATGAGCGTTCTAACAAATGATTACTTGATAGATAGATGAGCGTTCTAACAAATGATTACTTGATAGACAGATGAGCGTTCTAACAAATGATTACTTGATAGATAGATAAGCGTTATAACAAATGATTACTTGATAGACAGATGAGCGTTCTAACAAATGATTACTTGATAGATAGATGAGCGTTCTAACAAATGATTACTTGATAGACAGATGAGCGTTCTAACAAATGATTACTTGATAGATAGATGAGCGTCATGGTGTTCTGGCTAGACGCTAGCCTGTAGATCTGAGTGTCATGGATTCATATCCAAACCGTGCCTTGTGGGAGAGCGTGTACAGTTCAGAGGAGCAGCAGATGGATCACCATAGTCTAGAGATATTGATGCAGTGGGGTGTGATGAGAGGTTCTGGCAGATGGCTCGCTGCTCAGATGGAAGGCAAGACGGGCGTTTAATCAGAATGCTAGTGGCACCATTAGTATCGGAACTTTGCACTGGCTGTCGAAGATGGGGACGGAGCGCTTATTGGAATGCCCTGAGTGCTGTGATGTTGATTCTTAAATCAGATCAATCCAAACAGAGGATGACTAAAAAAAATTCCAGTGTCCTTATCTTCCAGTTAAACCCAGCCTTAAATGGCTGACATGTAAAGTTCTGGAAGTGATTGCGACCGCATGAAATTGACCACATCATCCATCAGATGCCAGTTGGTCTATAAAATATAGGTCTAGCCCTATATGCCCAATACACCTGAAGGGTGGACAAGGGTCATGTATTTTATTATAACTGATAAATGAGTGAGTGGATGGAGAATGGTTGGGATAAGGTGGATGGATGGAATGAATTAAAGAAGCTGGCAGGTAAGAGAAGTGAACCTGATTGGTTGCTTTGATTTTAGTTAGCTAAAAAGGAAAGGAGTATGTGTTGTTATATATGTTTACTAGCCTCAACATGTTAACGAGATCTGCCTAGATATTTTAACGTGCAGCATTATATCTGTTACATGATAGAAAATAGTTGATTTGACACTTTGTGGCATTATTGTTGTCTTTTTTGCCTGCAGTATCCTTTTTTAGAGCAGTATAGAACATGTGGCTGTGAATCCCGGACAGTCAGTAGGCAGGCCTAACAATTTCTTGAGGCCTCAGAGATGTGGTTTTACAGAAGAATGCTTAGAATACCTTGGACAGCCAAAAAGAACAACCAAGAGGTTTTGAGAGAGGCGGGAGCCTGAAGATAACTTATCACAGACATCAGAAGGAGACAGTCATCATTTTTCAGACATTTTATGAGAAGAGGGAAAATAGAATATGTTGTGACCACTGGAAAGATATGTGGAAGGAGGGATAGAAAAAGACAACAAGAGAAGATTATTGACAGTCTTGTTGCATAGCATCTAGGTGTGTCGGCACATGAACTGATACACGCTGCAGGAGATTGTGGATTATGGAGAGGCATGATCGCCCAGTTGGCAAGGCACCTGATGATGATGATGATGATAGAACATGAGGGTTGTGAGCATAGGTTTAGGGCTTTTATTGGCCAAGTGGTTAAAACTAAGGGATCTCATGCGGGAGACCTGAGTTCGACTCCCAGTAAGGTGATGTGGTTTTTCTGGGGTGGGGGGGGGGGGGCAGAATGAAAGATCGTAACCTACACAGTTCATGGCAACAGCACCAACCATGCGGCCCTAAATCCTCAAGATTTCGTTTTTTTTTTATGGTTCTGAAACTTGGAGCATGACTGAAAGAGATGAAGCCTTATAACAAACTTTTGAATAAAAAGAGTGTTACTAAGAACCTTTGAGCCTATCTAAGATGTAAACAGCAGGGAAGGGAGAGTGAGAAGCAACCACAAAATTCATAATCTGTTTAAATCACCATTGATCACTAGCATCATGAGAGCCAATAGACTGATATCATGGCTTGGGCATATTGAGAGAAAATCAGATGACCGAGAGGTAAAAACTGAATACACAAGAGAGATGAATGGTTGTAGACCACAAGGCAGACCAAGAAGATGATAGAGAGATTACATCCAGACAGACCTACAAACACTTGGTGTCACCAACTGGAAAAAGAAGGCCAACCAGAGAGATGGATGTTTTTCAAGTTCAAGGTTCTTTTGACATTGTTTCTATTGGTTTAACTTCTTTTTCTTCTTCATCACTTAATTATGTTGTGAAAAGTCTGATTTTTATGTGTGTGTATCCACCAATAACTATTTGTTTATTTCATTAATAATAATAAGTATTTATTTTTGTAAGACTGATTGTGTAAGCAGGAATCTGTCTCCTGCCATGCTTGGAAGCCTATGTTAAAATAACTCCTTCTCTCACATCCTGCGTTAAATGACCAGTTATTTCCCATTATTCTTTTCCCAGGTATATTTGTGACACTGTTTGGAATAGGCTACATCGTCAGTCCAAAGTTTTGCCATCGCTTTGTTGGCTATTTAGAGGAAGAGGCTGTGAAGACATACACCAAATGTCTAGAAGTAAGTGCAACATTACTTTTTTTTGTGTTTTTTCTCGATGCTATCCACCTATATATATATATAATGCTCGCTTGCGGATCGGAAGGTTTTGGGTTCACTCCCTGGAGAAGCTGGACTTTTTTCAAAAATGACCTTGACTCCATGAACATGGATGGCTTAAGACAGTGGCATGGAGGAATATCATCAGTAGAAATGATCCAGAACACCCAAGACCAAGATCTGTGATGATGCATGAACGCCTACGCCAGCTGACAAGGCACTTGATGATGATCCTTATTTGTTTGCTGTTCTCCCTTCAGTATGGTTTCCGTAAGAGTGTTATGTCTTTTAATCTGACTGCTTGCCTCTTTTTTTATATACCTTTGGACATTCTCTTTGAAGATATGTTGATGCCGTCCACATGGACGAATGGCAAGATGTTCGGTGATTATTTTTTCTGATTAGATGATGTTTAAATCTGCATTTGTTGCCTCTTTAAAATGGGAAGTATAGTTAAGAGTAATCAAAGAGCCCTCTTCCCACCCCTTCAGGTGTATTGGGCATGTAGGGCTAGACCTATATTTTACAGATCAGTCGATACTCAGTGGATGATGTGGTCAGCTGCATTCCAGCCGCTTTTACTTCTCAGGACGTTTCCCAGTACCCGTATGAGGCTGGCTCGACCTGAGAGCCAAGGTCATTAGAAAAAATATAATAATAATATTTGGCTCCATAAGAACATGAACCTATGGCTTTCATATCAGCAGGTGAGCATCTAGCCACTGCACCATGGCGGCTTTCCATGGTTAAGTATGGTTGTCATATATCTCCCCATTGTTAAGTATGGTAAACATATCTCTTCCCCCCCCCCCCCCAATCCATGGTTAAGTATGGTTTTCATATATCTATAGTAAAAGTGGGTTAATACAGAAACTAGACTGGGCAAAAGAAGTTTGCCTTCTTCAGCATTCCAAGCCCTTGAGATTTATTGGTGTAGATATGACCTGCCTCCATTCCTTTCTCTGACTTGCCTTCTCATTTCAGCTGGTGACTTCATGTTACACTCAGCGTTCCACATCTTCGAAGTCCTGTAATGTTTTAGGGTTCTTGTCCATTTAAATCCATTGAAATGTGAGTCTTAGATATCTATCTGTTTTGTTGTGAAAATTATATTTTACTAAAGTAGCGGTGTCAGCCCCAAGTTTCAACTCCCAACCTGGAGGACCAGAGTGTCTCTCTTTGTCTGTTCTCTACGCTTTTGAACAGTATAGCTTGGGAGGCCTTGGTGGTAGCTTTACTACCACTGGCATAGCTTTCAGGGTCATTGAAAAGCATAAGCTCCCGCACCTCTTCAAGGTCTTACGGCAGAATGGAGTTAACTCTTTCAGCATCAGAACGTTTTGCATCAGATGCCTAATAAACACTGTAACATTAAAATCATGATAGAATTTGGAAAAACTACCACATTGATATCCCAAAAAACTTATCCTGGAAGCCAAAAGAACACCAGGTACTAAAAAGAAGAAACATAGTGACATCTCAAAAAATCTGGACATCAAGGAAAATTGGCTAGTAAAGAGCATCTTGCCTCCGAAACGGAAATAGTCTAGCCATATCAAGCACTATAGCCGATTGGAAAGAATACTAGCAGAAGGCTACCAGGAAGGAGGGGCAGGGGCTGACCAGCACAAAGATGGGCACATGATACAAGTGACACCTTGGGTAGGACAGTGCACAAGGCAGGAGATCTGACCGAGTTTTTTCAGGCAGGCTGTGGTGAGAGCTACATCCTGCAAAGGACCTACAACATTTTGATGATGAAACCAACAAACTGATGGCCAATTGCTTGGCAGTGAATAAGTTCTTTCTAATTTTGGTGTCTTTTTTTTTTTTTCTTTATTAGGATATAGACCATGGACCTATGCAACACTGGAAAACACAGCCAGCACCAGAAGTGGCTGTGAGGTACTGGAAACTCAAGGTGAGGAAGTTCAGTTTGAGTTAATATGATTTATATGTTCCAAAAAAAAAAAAAACTCCTTTAACCCTAGCAGAAGAGCAACAGGTGAGCACATAATCTATTGTCACTGTACTCAAGTCACCTAACAGTAGTTTTGGCATTTTTTAACCTTGAGGCTGTTATTTGTCACTTTGCAATATGCCAGGTGTACATATGTGAATTCCTATTCCACATAGATACCACAACATCTAGCTCAGGGCTATTCAGCTAAGTCTACTCAGTGGCTAGCTCAGGGCTATTCAGCTAAGTCTACTCAGTGGCTAGCTCAGGGCTATTCAGCTAAGTCTACTCAGTGGCTAGCTCAGGGCTATTCAGCTAAGTCTACTCAGTGGCTAGCTCAGGGCTATTCAGCTAAGTCTACTCAGTGGCTAGCTCAGGGCTATTCAGCTAAGTTTACTCAGTGGCTAGCTCAGGGCAATTCAGCTAAGTCTACTCAGTGGCTAGCTTAGGGCAATTCAGCTAAGTCCACTCAGTGGCTAGCTCAGGGCAATTCAGCTAAGTCTACTCAGTGGCTAGCTCAGGGCAATTCAGCTAAGTCTACTCAGTGGCTAGCTCAGGGCAATTCAGCTAAGTCTACTCAGTGGCTAGCTCAGGGCAATTCAGCTAAGTCTACTCAGTGGCTAGCTCAGGGCAATTCAGCTAAGTTTACTCAGTGGCTAGCTCATGGCAATTCAGCTAAGTCTACTCAGTGGCTAGCTCAGGGCAATTCAGCTAAGTTTACTCAGTGGCTAGCTCAGGGCAATTCAGCTAAGTCTACTCAGTGGCTAAAGTTTCTAAACACATCATTGTTTGAAATTATATATCCCCACGTGGCGCTCAGTTTTTTTTGTTATTTGAAGCACACCCCTGCTGTTGCCAGGGGTCCTAATATAACCCAACCTATGGGTTGAACAGGGTTTCTAGGACCTGTCTAGGGGGGTGTCACGGAGTGTTTATCGCTTGGTGTTATGTCATGGTGGGGTAAAATTTTGAAACTGGGCATCATTGCAAGCCAGAGATCCAAGCCCAAGCAAAGAAAGATCATTAATACAGTACAACTGGCAATTATCCGTGAGCCACTGGCTGGGCCTTCATGGGCTGCCAGTTAAAAACCCCTGATGTAGCTTATGAATGGAGAAGGTGGCAGACACTGCAGCTTTCCGTTGATCTGAGAACATGATACACACACGCACACATGTCATAACTGTAGGTGACTCAGAAAGCATGCTGAGGACGGGAGAGGTCAGGAAAGCTTTGTGCAGAGTGACAAGCTTCACTTCGGAGGTCACAGGTGAAGAGCATTGTCTGGATCTTTTCTCTGGGCTCTGCCGGTGAGTTGAGAAATGAACAAGCAAACAGATTGGCTGGCTCTTCCCAACTTGGTAGAATATTGATGCATGATAAGTCAGATGTGGTTAAGATCTTATGAAAGCACGTGTGCAATTCAGAGGAGCACATGGATCACCAGTCAGGTGAGAGTGTTGCAGCAAGGAGTGACGAGGGATTCTGGCCGATACTCGATGCTCAGAGGAAAAGCAAGACAGATGTATAATCAGACCACCACTGGTATCATTGGTACTGGAATCTCTATGCTGACTGCTGAAGATGGAGACAGAGCACTTATGGTAAGGCCCTGAGTGATGAAATGTCGGCCCTTGAATCAACTCAGCTCCCCGCATAGGTCAAAATGAAATTGTACTTTTCAATGTAACTTCACAATTTTCATATACCGCTCAATGGCCCAAAGCAGTTTTCTTTAAAACAAGAACTTAATGTGACTTTTAGTGTTGCCACATTATCATATGTTGTTTGCAACTGAAAGAATTAATGAAGAATTGATATTATTTTGTTTCACGCTGTCAACACATATTTGATCTGACTCCTTGAGACAAAATTGGTAATCCGGTGATCTTAGTTTCAGTTTCTTAGCAAACGTGTCACCCCATAGTTGCTCTGCTCATGTCATCTTCATCATGTGCCCTGCCAACCTGCGTAGGTACTCATGTCTCAACAGATCACGATCCCTGGTTGACTGGAACAGCTCTCTTGATGATATCCCTCCATGCCATCGTTTTAGCCCATCCAGCATCATCTCTCTTTGTCTGCCTCTATCCCTTTTTCCACTGATCTTTTAAGTTGTCACTTTGCTCTCCAATGTCTCTCTTCTTATTATGTAAGAACAGTGTTTGCCTCTTTCTTATTGTTGTGTATAGAGGTCTACACTCATTAGCTTTTTTCAAACAATCGTTGTTAGTTACTCTGGCCGTCCAAGGTATTCGTAACATTGGTCTCAGAAACCACATGTCTGTTGCTTCTAAATTCTTCTTGATTGTTCACTGACATTCCAAGATTCGCTGCCATACAGCAAAACAGGTTCTATGTAACCTTTTAGCACCCACTTTTTCACTCCTGTGCCAATGAAAAATGCACAGAATGTCCATCACTACCCCTTGTGGAAAAAAATTGACACAGATGGCAGTCTAAGTATATGCACTAACATACACATGCCTTAAAGGCATTATGCATTTCCCATTTATATGAGCTTCTGTGTGGGATTTTTTTTTTAAACTGTTAACCAATACAACAAATTTTTCTATAATTTGTAATTGTCGTTCATTTTCCAAGTCTGCATTAATGAAATTAAATCTGTTTTTTTTAACCCTATCAGCCTGATGCTACCATGAGAGATGTCATTCTTGCGATTCGAGCTGATGAAGCTCACCACCGAGTTGTCAACCACAATTTGGCCTCACTAAAAAAGGACGAGTTTAATCCGTATAAGCCAGGAGAATAATGCACGTGTTAGATATCATTATAAGAAGCTACCAGGAAGGACATCATTGTACTTGACCTTTTGCTTCTGCATAATTTAAGTCGAGTACTTCAAATCTGATGTCTCTGCTTGATATGGTGTACAAGTTTCATTCATCTGCCTTTTGGCTCAGCACATCTGATATCATCATCATCATCATCAGGTGCCTTTCCTCTCCACAATCTGCGATCTCCTGCAGCATGTATCAGTCATCTGATATCATCAAAGCCATAATTACTCACTTTTTTAACGTGCCTGTTGAGTCGGAGTCATTCCACCCCATCCCCCACCCCACCACACACCAAAAGCTTAACAGAATACACTTAGAAAATCTATAAAGCACATATATAAACCAGGAACCTCTATGGTATAGCAACTAGACAGCCGATCTGAAGTCCTTGGATTTGATTTCGCACTACTTCATTGTTTTTCCCCAGTGACCTAGGTTGACCTAGCCTAAAATTGGCACCAGGTAAAGTTCTGGGAAGTAAAGGTGGCCAGTGTGATGTTCACCACTTCTCCTATTGAGGGTTGTTTGAAAACAAGTCTGTCACCATAACCTGAATCTCTACTAATATGAACAAAAAACTGTTGTTTTTTTTCATATATTAATTATTTATTTATTTATTATTTTTTATTTTAATTGTTTATTTAGTTTTAAAACTTATTTGGTCTATTTATTAATAATTTTTTTTTACACTTAATATTATATCTGCATTTTACTGGCATCAATTAATTTTTTGGGTCCCATGAAAAGCATATGCACATAGAGGCCCAATGAATGCAAGATGTGCTGATTTTAGATCTTTCTTGACTTCCCCTGGGCCTCTGATGCTAAACCTCATGGGACCCAAAGAGTTAATAGTCTCAAATTGTGGAAAAAAAAAGTTAGTTGCATTTCCTTTACAAGACGTTGCAGAACCAACCGCAGCATTTTTTTTGTGTGTTCTTTTGTGTGGTGCTGTTGTGGATTTTCTAGGCAAAATGTTTACATTTAGTAGTTTGCCACTGATTTCTGAATGGTCAGCTCTCAGTACCCTGTCGACACCAATGCAAGACGAACTGTCCACAGCTGGAATCAAACCCGGCACCCCAGCAACGTCTAAGCCACAGATGCTGATTCCTATTGTAAGCTTTAGTTATTCCCTGTGCAGTTACTGCCATTGATGTACGAAATGGTAGGCTTTCCAATATCTTAGACCATAATATACAAGTGTCAACAGTTATAAGACAGAGAAAATTGTTGGAAAAGATGAAGAGAGAGTCACTGAACAAGCACTTAAATGGCGAATAGAAGGATTGAGGAAACCAGGACGACCAAAAGAAAGCCTAAGGCAAATGTTAATGAGAGAATGAACGGACTTTATTTTCAAAGGGTTACAAATAAGGGATGCAGGCCCGTCTGACATTTGACCCTTACAAACACCCATCTTTCACACAGCTGTTGTATTTTATCAGTAAAGCATGTCCATATAATACTATGCATATTATGAATATCCAGTCACAAACCACAGCCTGGGTGGTAAAATGTATATGCACGCTCGCGCATGCACACACCTGCATACACACGCAAACCCATTCACGCACTTACACACATACACAGACACCCAGTACACACATACATACATACGTACATAAATGCACGCATGCATACTTTAAGACACACACGCAAACAACCCAGACACATACACACACAGCTATACAGACACACACGTAGCCGCACAAAGACACCTACAAACAGACATAAACAAACATTATCAAATAGACATACATACAGATACACACTAAGACAAGGTGCAGGACTGGATTCCATCCGTGATATTAAAGAGATTGTACAGAATAAAACAGAATGGATTGGAGGAATAGGTTGCAATCCGTCTGTGACATATAAAGGTACAAAATGTTAGTTAATGAATGAGTGAATAATATACAGAACTGAGTAGGCCCGAATCCTTCCTCATCCCCTTCCAGAGAATTCCCTGAAAGTTCTAGAAAATGTCCTGGAGCTCATTTTTATTAAAGTTGACTGGGTCAACCTCCAAAGCTAGAAAAGACAAAAATAATCCTGCTTTTGCTATGAATTGAACCCAGACTCCCTTTCTTTTCAGGTAAACACACTAACAACTAAACTATCAGTAATTTTAAAAAAACTTTGGTTTTTTTCTTCTCTTTTTTCATCAGAGACCCAGCAGGCACATGATGCTGGATTCATATTTGTATAGACCAGTTTTCCATTGCTAGCTGACGTGGTCAACACCATGCCAGCCACTTTGCCCTCCAGCACATTACCTGGTACCTCCCCCGTGTGGCTTCCGGGGCCTTATAGGGAAAACAAGAATAGACTCATTGCCTACCCAAAAGCATGTCGTAAGAGTCGACTAATTGGGAGCTTCCTTTGATGTCGGAGTGCATCTGCCGGAGAAGCAAGGAACCAACAGTCTGCACACAAACGCATCAGATCTGTCAAACGGCTGCACACGCAACACTCATGTTCTGGGGCAGGGCTGCAGTCCAGAAGTGGACGAACAACCAGAACTTTCCACCAGAGTTTACAGCTGGTGAACGCAAAGAAGAAGAAGATTACCTGGTACCCATTTCACAGTGGGTCGCGAACCCTTTGGAGGTCAAACAACTCTTTCACAAGAGTTGCTTAAGATCATCAAAAAAACATATTCACTGAAGTTATGAAGTGGTTCATTATTATGTGGTGAGTATGGTTGTTTACTTTATGTTGCAGATATTATTTACTTGACTGATTTATTACGTCAGTGACATTATTCTCCCACCTTATTTACTATTATATAAAGTTTCAGACGAAACTTATTGTCAATGGATGATGTTTATTCACCAAAATTAAATATGTGAATATTTTACATATTGTAGATTGAAGCTACGATGCCAATTTGTAATATATTATATAACTTCATTTTGACATGTCAGGTTTACTGCTTTGTCATCCTGATTCACAAATAATATTGTTGCATTGATTAAATGTGTGTTTGAACTCTTTTACACATTTTTTATATAAATACTATTCCGTTATGTGAAGTGACATATTCTGACTTGAGTTGATTCAAGAACCAACATCACAGCACTTGGGGCATTTCCATAAACGCTTCGTCCCCATCCTCAGCAGCCAGTGAAGAGTTCCGATACTAATGGTGCCAGTAGCATTCTGATTAAACGTCTGTCTTGCCTTTCCTCTGAGCCTTGAGCATCTGCCAGAAGTTCCCCTCACTCCCCGCTGCATCAATTTCACCAGACTGTGGTGATCCATCTGCTTCTCTGAACTGTACACGCTCTCCCACAAGGCACTAACCACGTCTGCCTTATCATGTATCAGTATTCCACCAAGTTGTACAGAGCCAGACAGTCTGTCCACCTGTTCCTTTCCCAACACACCGGCAAATACTGATGAGAGAGGACGGAGATGCAGGATCTGTGATTCTGTCCATAATATCAAAAACATTGCAAAAGATGGATTAGAATGTAGAAATAAAATCTAAAATGAATGTAATTTATAATCAGTACAAGATGCCTTTTTTTTTTTACACTAATATCCATTTTGATCTCCAGAACTTTCAGTATTTAACTTTCTTTAGTGAGACTGCCATTTGTATATTCCATGATCCCACTGGGGGTGGGGGACCCACTGCGCCTCCTCCTCCCAGTGCACAACAAGTATGTTGTATAGGTCTACTAATTAGGGGTGGTACTTCCTCCAAAGTGTATCTGCTTGAGATGTGGGGAACCAGCAGTCGATAAACAAATCAGCCAGATATTTAAAAAGGATATGCATGCAAAACGCAAATAAGACTAACGTCCAGAAGTGGATGTACAACAAGAACATTTTGCTGGAGCTTACAGCTGGTGAATGCGAATAAGAAGAAGATGAAGATTTATTTTCATGCTCTTTAAATTCATTTTCCACTTTTCTAGAACCTCAAAATTTCTTTTCTTCTTCTTTACAAGCAATACAGCTTATCCATCAGTATCAGATTATTCCTATGGCAACCTCATTTTTTTATACTTCTGTATCCATTTTTTATACTTCTGTATCCATTGTTTGAGTTGAGTCAAGAATTGACATCACAGCACTTAGGGTATTCCCATGCATGTTCCGTCCTCATCTTAAGCAGCCAGCGCATCTTGTTACACCCAGATGCCTCATTCTCTCCAGGCCCATAATAATCTATCTCTACTGATTTCGTTGGTTGTTCTTAAAGGGCCTTGACCACACCTGCCTTGTTATGTATCAATTCACCACTCAGTGGTGCAGATCTAGCTAATCTGCCTGTTCATTACCCACTACGTCGGCATGCTCTGAAGAAAAAAATTTAAAAATGCTCACTACCCCTAATCTTTCCAGTGAAGCTTGCCACTCTGCTTGAAGAATCCGTCTTCCTCTTTCTCAGCCTGCTTTCAGAGTCTGTTACAATTACGATGTGTATGCATTTTGATCTCTAGCCACCATTGTTTATACTTCTGCATCCATTGTTTATACTTCTGCATCCATTGTTTATACTTCTGCTTCCTTTGTTTATACATTTGAATTGTTTGACGTTTTTGGTTGTTTATTTTTTATGATTTTTACGTGTATTTTGGGCCATAAAAGAGTAGTTTTCTACAAAAAAAAAATTTATTCATTTTATTTTAATACAGTAATGGTGTGGCAGATAAACGCTTGCCTGTCAACCGGAAGATTGTGGGTTCAGGCCCTGACAGAAGCTGGACTTTTTTAAAATTGATCTTGGCTCCCAGGTCGACCCAGCTTTGAGTCGGTACCAGGTAAAGTCATGGGAAGTAAAGGTGGCTGGTAAGGTGATGACTAACTACATCACTAACTGAGCGCCAATTGGACTATGAAATATAGATCTACCCCTATCTGTCCAATACGATTGAAGACATGGAAAAATGTTGGCACACAGATGTAACCCACAAGTGCTCCATTCTTTTTCAAACTGAAGCCTGAGTCTGAAGAA